ACTATAGTGACCTCACTTAGCTTAATTACAAATGGATCAGAACTCACACTATAGTGGCCTCACTGAGTTTGATTACAAATGTGAAAAGCTCTTTCTAAATAAGGCCACCCTTACAGATTTCAGGGTGAGAACATGAACAGATCTTTTGAGAAACGCAACTCAGTGCACCATAGTCAGGAAGAAAGGGGCCAAGCGATTCCCAGGACCTGGTTGCCCTCCTCCTCATTCCATTGGGTTCATGGGCTAACTAAGACTCAGCCACTTATCACTATGCTGCAAGATATGTTCTGTACCACAAGATCCTGGAAGCTTCAGACTCTAGAATATCTTATCTCAGTCTGTCATTGCTGACCCTTTAAACCTAAAATAAAGGAGATGGAAGGCTGAAATTCTTTAATCTCCACCATTTTGTTTACAAAAGCCTTCGTAACAAGAAGTAAAAAATATAAAATCCAAAAGACCCAGAGTATAACAATGTCTTTACTTTTATGATGCCTACAAACAAGGCCTTATCCTCACAGTCCCATGGGCTAAGTGACAAGCACTGAGCAGATAGGCCCAGAAGGCAGCACATCATTAACCCCAAGTAAGGCCGGCAAGAGTCCTGGGCTGTGTGATGGGCACACAGCGCATGGGGAATTCTAAAATAGCAGTCACAGTCAGTTTCTCTGGTACAACCAGCTTAATCTACAAAGTAGAAACTGAGTCACAGGGAGGAAAAGAGGATGATAATCAGCGGGAAAGCAAATATCAGGTTTCTAGGTGCTATGCACTGTGCGGGGGAGGGGTGCAAGGCTCCTTCAAGCAGCCTATGAGGAGCAGAGGCCTACAAGGAGCAGACAGAAGGGCAGCTGATAGAGGTGGATGCACACTCCTCCCTCCCATTTCCTTGACTGTTTGGAAGGGTGGCCTATACTTCCCAAAGCAGGTCAATGGTGTCTCAGAATGGGTGGTGAGAGGACCTAGGGGATTTTTGTCAGGTCCACCACTGTGAGTCCTCCCAGACGGAATGTTAGAGATCTGGCCCTCTTTCACTTGCCTCTTGGAGATTCTCTCCACACTAGATATGGTGCCAAGAGGCCACCTTTGTATTCAGAAGAATCCAGAGGTCTTTTGACCAGCTGTGCAATGAACAAGACACTCAGGCAAGTTACTAAGAGGAACTCATAGTCACAAAGTGTCCAAGAGCATCCAGTCCCACATACCTGTGCTGGTCATTTGTCATTCCTAAGACCTGGATTTCCTCCAGCCAGAGCCCACTCCCATGCAGGTGTTCAGTGAAGAGATAAATGAAGCTGCCACCTATGTATTCATGAAGCCAGGAACCAGGCACATACTATATCGACGGGACATTGAAGCCTATCCCATCCCAGGACAGCCACCTTCTTCCTCTTTTGTGGCTTTCACTGCCACCCCATGGACCTTCCTCCCAGAAATGAGGCAAGTTTTGTCAAGTTGCTATGGGGTTCCGTCCCCCAGCTGACAAATGAATTGGTACGCAGCAGCTGCTTAGTAAATGTTTCGTGATTGCTGGTCTCAAAATGTTTACAGTGAGAACAGCTCAAATTGGAGCCCGTAATGAGTTTCTCATTAAGGAGAACTTTAGGATATGGAAGCCAGCTCACTAGGAGAGACTAGCTTACCAGAAAAGAGACCGTACCGTTTTCTTGGCTTCCTCACCCTGGGGATAGATAACACATGCACTTTGTAAAGTCAAGAAATTCTTGCCAAACTGTGTCTAGTATTTGACCACTCTCTTTACCCACCAGGAACAAGTGAGACCCAAGTGTTGTGCCTTCTTGCTTGAAGCTCCGTGAGCAACTGCTGGCGTTACCCCAATCTGCATACCTGTAGGTGCACAGAAAGGCAGACGCTGAAATGAAAACTGGCTGAGACCAATCCCAGATCAGGCAGAGAAAGCTGACCCAGATGTGGAATCAGGAGCCCCAGTTCCCAGTTTCCTACGTCCTCACAAGTGCTCTTGCACACTGGATGGGATCTGTTTCTAGACTATAGAGCAAAAACCCAGTTAAAGCCACTAGGAACAGTTCCCGGCGTCCAGCACACTGACACCTTGTGTGGATGCTGAAAGAAAACCTGAAAGTGCAAATTTCTCAGCATGAGAAGGTCACACTGCACAATGCTCCCAGAGTTCCCAGAAGCCATCATCCAGCTCTGGATAAAGTACCTGAAAAAAAAAAAACTGCAATGCTTACAATAGCCAATGAAAGCCTCCTACCTCCAAGCAATGAAGTGGCTCCATCAGGCAAGCCCTTAAAGCAAATGATTTCCAGCTGCACATTCAAGTGTCTTGTAATATTATTGTTGGTTGTCCACCAGAATAAGATGGTAAGGCCCTAAAGTTGAAGATAACACATGCTCTGATCACAGAATGTAGAGAAAGCAACTGGAATTAACCCGGAAGCTTCCTCCCCACTGGCTAGTCTTTATAGTACCAGAAGGTCCTATGCAGACTGCTGGGGAAGAATGGCCATCAGCAATCTTAGTTATGGACCCTGAATGCCACACTACCCACCAGGCAGGAAAGAGATGTATACTACTGACAAGTCTGTTATGAGGCAACCAACTTTCTTCTGATCAGATTTGATACCTACTCTACAGAAGGAACTTGTTTCTGGTAAGCACAGTCAAAAGTCCATGGCTAGGGAAGTAACAGGCACTAGCAGTAGAGCAAAAGGGTGGTTCTTTATACCTGGGATACAATACCTAAGATTCTCACCTGGGGCTCAAGGAACGTATAGAAACACAGCCATATATGTGTATATTCTAAAAGGCGAATGTTGGTGTTTTAGTTTCCTATTTCTCATATTTCCTTTCCTTTCTTCCATCACTTTATGTCCTTATTTACACTCTTAACATCTACCATCTCCTGAGAAAGAACGCCAAGAGGGATACAAACAGGGTTCACACCAAATACTCGGAACTCTGCCATGACTCATCGTTCTGAGCTACAGAACACCATCTCCCTCCCCAGGTCCACATCTAATTAGGGCTCCACACAATTTCCCTTCTGCTGCTCCTCCCTGCTGAGGACCAGGCAATTACAGGTGGAATCCAGGCACCCTTCTTTATCTCTGCTCTCTTTTTATCTTCGCCTCACCCTGTCTGCTGTGAACCCACCAGACTCGAGTGAGTGACGAGTAATTTTGTGGTGGTTGTTACTTTTTTATTGAAAAAGCAGCAGAATGAAATAGTTTGCGTCTTAATGATTAGAGTTCTGGGAAAGGCCCATGACACAGTTAGTCAGTAATTTTCTGTAAATGTCATGCCTGTCTCCAGAGCCCCAGCATGTTGCTGCAGCCTCAAGGCTGGGCCTAGCATCTTCCCTTGGCAGGAACACAGTTGCACTGCCCAGCTGTGCAGCCTTCTATCAATATCAGGGGGAGACAGGCTGTTCAACTACTGAGGCTCAATTTTTTTCATGATCTTAGCATGGCTGTTGCCTAACTCTCTTTATAGTCAAGGTCCTGTGGGCCTTGCAGGTCTGCGCAATCCCACAATGTAACTGGGAGAGTTTCTCTCCCGTGATCGTTTGCCTCCATCCATCCATGGTTCCTTTGTCCTATTCAAGACTCCGCATGATTCCTCTCTGACATACTTCTCCAAGCTCTGTCTTCTCAAGTCTTCTATTCAGCTGGGGTGGCTGGGAGTGGGAGGTTTCAAACTTTCCCTTCTATAAGGACCCCTGAATAGGTACCTTTCTGATTTTGTAACTAATGTTTTGAGACCTGGGTCAAGGTGACCCAGCTGCTTCCTCTCAGCCTGACTGTTGGTGCCTAGAGGGCAAAGCGCATAGGAGTTTGATCTGCTCTCCTTGCCAGGGTGGACAGTGGGATACCCTCCTACATGCCTCACCCAGTATGTTAATACTTGTTGGACACATTAATGATTGTAACTCCTCTACTTTGCCAGCCAAGTAAATGGAAGGAATAGCAACTAGGCAAGGGTCCTAGGTATCCACGTTCATCTTGCAGAAAACCTTGTAAACGGTAAAAGCAGTGGCAATGGAAATGTACTGCCTGCCCAGTGTGAGCCCTACAGCTCAAACCAGGTTGCTAGTCCTTCAGTTCAATGCTCACGGCTCACTGGGCTAGGCTCCGATGCTACATGTCCCACCAAGACCTTTTAGCTTTCACGGCACCTCCTGCTGGGTTGCTTGCTAGGTCTATAGGCTTCTCAAATGTCAATAGACTAGTAAAGCCCTTGAGGCTGGAGTTGGGAAGCCAATGTCCTTCATGAGGCCTCCTGGGCCTTTGAGAGTCTATACTTCTAAGAAACCCCAAGCTTCTGCCTATTATATGATGTACAAAATACTGTTTATGAGCAAGAGTTAAAACTATTGTTCAGTTACCAGCTGACACATCAGGGTCTACACAGAAGCTTAGAAAGGATAATACACTGCCCTATGTGTGCTTACACCAGAGCAATCTCTTACCTAGAAGTCACCCAATCCATAGCTCACCTAACTAAAATCCTGCCAAGATGATGGAGGAGAAAGGATCCCTGTGTCACCAAATAAATGCCAAAAGTCCTAGTGTTATAGTTAAAGATTACACTCAGGTTCTAGTTTGTCAAATGTGGTGGTACACATCCTTAATCCCAGCACTTGGGAGTCTGAGGGTGGTGGATCTCTGTAAGTTGAGGCCAGCTTGGTCTACACAGTAACTTCCAGGCCAGCCAAGGCTACATAGTATGACTGTATCCAAAAGAGAGAACCAGGTAGTGGTGGCTCACGCCTTTAAGCCCAGCACTCAGGAGGCAGAGGCAGGTGGATCTCTGTGAGTTTGAGGCCATCCTGGTCTACAGAGCTAGTTCCAGGACAGCCAGAGCTGTTACACAGAGGAACTCTCTCAGAAAAAAAATGGGAGGTGGGGAGGAAGAAGAAGATCAGGAGACGATAAAGTGACATTAAATAGACCAACCACAGTGCCCTCTAAGAAATTAGATTGGTCCTCTATGGCTGTTGTAAGAAATAATAAATACTAGTAAACTCGGTGGCTGAAAAAAAACACATATTTATGTTCTTACAGCCCTGGAGGGATCAGAAATTCAAAAAGAGCCTTAGGGAGCCAAGTCAAGACGTCAGCAAGCCAGGTTCCTAGACTTTTCTAACTCCCAGAGGCTGCCTGCATTCCTCTGCATCTGGCCCCTTCCTCCACCTCAAAACCAGTAGCATGTCATCTTCTAGCACTGCTTTGTTCACCATATGACCTTCTCTGAGTGGCTCTTGTCTCTCTCTTACACAGACAGATATAGTGATCTCACTGTCTCAAGGTTTCATACCTGCCAAATCCCCTTTGCCACATAAAATGACTTTCACAGGTTCCAGGGATTAGAGCATATTCAGAGGGCAAGGATGTAACACAAAGAGCAACGATATATACTGCAGGGAACCATGGAGTTGGTTTGGCCTGCCTGCCTTAAGAGGTGTGCATCAGAGCTCCTTCAGGTTACAGTCCAGGGCTCCTAGAGCACAATGTGTCTTCCTGTTTCTGGGACACTGATGCACTGCCCCAGGCAGTGACACATTCAGACTACTTTGTGGTTTTCTGTTTGTTCCCTTAGTAGTCAAAGAAATAAAGAAACTTGACAGGACAATTGGTCTTAGGCATTAATCTTATATGTCCTGTACGGCTTGCAAATTTCATTGTGTCCTGGCAACCACAATGTATTGATCCTGACAATTGTCATTATATTCCGTTTCTGATAAAGGTATAAGAAGCCTGATTACTCTCAACGAAATTGCAACAGCCACAGTTGTTCTATATTCAGAATGGCTCCAAGGCTGCTGGCTAAGATGATCCAGTCTCACAGAATCCTCCTGTCAGGACTTGACCAGAATTCTGAATTTTTTCAGGGTCCCCCAAAGATTACCAGTGCCACCAATCAGCAGTAGGTAGTTTAGAGAACTATGCCCACATTCTCAAAAATGGGTCATGGATATTTGTTATCATTTAAAAAGGGGTTGGATATAAGTTGTAATTGGTAATTGTCAAGAAAAAAACTGAACAAAGGAGATTAGATTCAGGGATCTTGTTGTAAAAAGGAAAGGGAGATACAGAAATGTGGTAAAGCAAGGTAAGATAGCAAGTGAATTAGGTACAACACCAAGATAGGATAGATAATGGAGGGTTTTCTTTGAATTTGTCAAATGCTAGTGGACTTAGACATTGTTGATATAATTATTGCCTGTATATATTTATGTATGATTATTGAACTTAATGTATATAGTTTTTCTTATATTAATTATAACTTTTATATTTTAGACAAAAAAGGGGAAATGTAGTGATGTTTTGTCTGTGCTTTAAGAAATAAAGCTTGCCTGAAGATCAGAGTGTAGAGCTAGCCACATTAGTTAGCCTTAGAGGCCAGGTGGTGATGGCTCACACCTTTAATCCCAGTACTTAGGAGTCACACGCCTTTAATCCCAATACTAGGGAGGTGGGCGACAGGAAGGGATATGGCTGGACAGAGAGAGGAATATAAGGTGGGAGGAGACAGGAGTTCATTTCATTCAGTCTGAGGTTTCATAGAGACAGCATTCAGTCTGAAGCATTCAGTCTCGGGACTTGTAGAAACAGAACATCCTTTTCAGTCTGTGGATTTTGTGGAGGTAAGAACTAATGACTGGTTGCTCTGTCTCTCTGATTTTTCAGCTTTCACCCCCTAATATCTGACTCTGGGTTTTTATTATTAAGGCCAATTATAATTAGAGCTACACCTAAGGAAATACTGTACCAAAATATGAAGATGGCCTTTTCTAATGAAAACATTAAGGGTGTTTATGTCTGTCCTTCTGTCTTCTACAAATAGGAAATTGTGCAGCATAGAACATCAAAAGAATTCCTACACTAATGACTAACTCAGGTCATTTTGATACATCCAAATAATTACTCTGATTCTAGATCCCAGGAATATGGAAAGAGCTACTGTTCCTTAAGCCCTCATGTGTAACTGGTCTAATCACATGAGAATGCAGAAATCCCCATAACCTATCCAGTCTCATTCTCCTTCTTCAACATGACCTGCATCCACCAAGCTCCTTGGTGTTCCCTCCATGCCAGCCAGGATAGTGTTCTAGGACTGCTATAATAAATGGTCACGCAGCAAGTGGCAAAAATGTGTTCTCTCACCACTCTGATGGCCAAAGGTAATCAAGGTCAATGGGTTGGGCTTCATCTCTAGAGGTTCTAAACCTCCTTGCTCTATAAACTTCTTATAAGCTGTAGGTAGAAGTTGTGCTGTGTCTGCTTCCCAAATAACTGATGCAGAGACTCAATATTTATTATAAATGCTTGACCCATAGCTCAGACTTATTACTGCCTAACTCTTACATTTAAATTAACCCATATTTCTTATCTTTTCTTTGCCACGTGGCTCATGACTTCTTACCTCGTTTTCTACACGTCCTGCTTTCTCAGCAGTTGTCTGGCATCTCCTCTGATTCCTCCCTTCTCCTTCCCATCAACCTTAGTTTAGCTGCCCTGCCCATACCTCCTGCCCAGCTACCAGCCAATAGGCATTTTATTAAAGCAATTCGAGTGATAAATCTTTACAGTGTACAAGAGGATTATTTCACAGCAATAACCTGAGTTGTTCCTGGCCTTCTGGTACCATCACACCAGTCCTTATTTTTACCTGACTTTCTCAACCTACTGTGTGCGTGTGGAGTTGTGATACCTCAGAGACGTTACAGAAGACCTGAGTGTATGTGTGGGGGTCCATGGTATGTGTCAATTCTCATGTGAGTCATCAGGTCACTTCCATCACTACCATCAACACCTCATCTTCTAAGATACTACCAATATTACCAATTCTTAAGGTCCTTTCGCTACCCACAAGATCCTCCTCCCTCAGCTATGTCCATGCCTGTCCTGACAACACCCAGGAAGCCCATGTGTAGCTGTGGTAACAGATGGAGCTGGCCCAGAGCTGGTTTTAGCTGAGGCAATAGCTACAAACACAGACATGAACGGGAGAAGCAGGACAGAGAACCGTGGTGTCCTAGAGCTGCCATCACAAAGCTCCACAACTGGGTGTTCTAACACAACAGAAACATGGAATCCGGGTATGAGGGAGCAAGCTCCCTCAGAAGGCTCTAGAACAGTATGCTTGGCAGTTTTATGTCAACTTCACACAGCTAGAGTCATTTAGGAAGAGAGACTCTTAAATGAGAAAATGCCTCCATAAGATTTTCCTGGAGATAAGTCTGTGGTGCACTTCCCTCATTAGTGACTGATGTAGGAGGGTCCAGTTCACTGGGTGGTGACATCTCTAGACAGGTGGGCCTGAGTTGTAAAAGAATTCAGACTGAGCTCTGCAGTGGCACATGCCTTTAATCCCAGCACTCAGGAGGCCAAGGAAAATGGATATCTGAGTTAGAGGCCAATCTGGTCTACAAAGCAAGTTCTAGAACAGTCAGGGACATACAGAGAAACCCTGTCTCGAAAACAAAAAACAAACAAACCAAACCAAACAAAAAACAACTCAGACTGAGCAAGCCATGAGGAGCAGGCCTCCTCCATGGCTTCTGAATCAATTTCTGCCTCCAGATCCTTACCTTGAGTTCCTGCCCTAGATGATGGGTTATAAACAATAAGATGAAATAAACCCTGTCCCCTCAAAGTTTCTTTTGGTCATGGTGTTTTATCACATCAATAAAAACTCTAAGACAAATGGGATCTTCATTTTCCTCTCTAGCTTCTAGTAGTCCCAAACTGTCCCTTGATTTGTGATGACATCACTCTGGTCTCTGTTTCTGTGTCTACACTGCCTCCTCTCCTGTATGTTTCCTCTGTCCTTTCTCTCTTCTGTCTGTCGTGGACATTAGATTTACGACCCACCCCAGTAATCCAAAGCAACCTCATACCAACATCCCTATCCTCACTACATCTGCAAAGGCTCTTTTGATAGATAAGGGTAGTTTCAAGGGGTCTGGGGATTATAACATGGAAGCATTCTGAAAGGCTAACATTCATCCATGACACCAGATATCAAAATGAGCTTCCTGGAACAGTAAGATGAACAGGCCCTGCCTTGCCTAACACTTGCTGGGGGCCATATACTTCAAGAAAAAGCCAGTAGCTAGGACCTGACATTCCAGTCCCTGCCTAGTCACTCTGTTGACTGGCCAGCCTCAGGCCTATGAGTCTCATGACGTGGACCTCAGGCAGCTCCCCTAAAGATGGTGGTCTCTCAGTTTGGCAGCTTGGTCTGGTGTAGCAACTTCTGCCATACATCCTTCTATCCAGCTTGTTCTGGTCTATGTTGCCATGGGTATTTATAATTGGAAGGGGCTCAGGCCCACATGCTTCTGGGTTGTGACATTTGTCATGCTCTGAGCCCTGTCTTGGCTGTCTATCTCCAGGCTGTGAGCAGTCCCACTTCCCCTCTGCCTGAGGCTGAAAATTTTCCCTCATCCTGTCTGCTTGGTCAAGTCCATGATGTTTCTTATACAACACAATGCCTGGGCCAAACCAATAGCTCTGAAAACTGACAGCTTGAAGTTCACACTCCCTAATGTAACATGGACCTTGGGGGATCAAGCTGCTGTCTCTCAGTTTCTTACCCTACCTCCACCATGCTTTCAAGCACATGACACCCTCAAGTGTGTATACATACATGCACACACACACACACACACACACACACACACACACACCCCACATATTTCAAAACATGATGTTTCTCCCTCTCCTGGCAGCCAGCCTACTTAGCCTCTTAGTTAAACAGTGTTGTGTGGCTGCCTGCTTCTCCCTTGGGTCTTTTGTGGTCTGGGCTCACCAAGTAATAGGTGCCTGTGAATGTGAGCCAAGGGAATGACTCAATGAACACATTAATTTTTAAAGCCCTGGGTCACAGGGCACTCTATTGGCAGGCAGTCTCTGCACAGTGGTTGATAAATGAATAATTCACAACTGACCAATAAGAACTAGCAAACCTCTAAGAAGGGCTCTCCCTCTGGCAAGCCACACCTATCACAGAGTCCCTCACTTACATTCCACCTATCACCAATGTCCTCAAGTAGTACATCCCCTCACGTTATCCTGGTCCCCTCACCCCTTGCTTAGTTGATGAGCTCCCTGAGGGCACAGACCTGGGGTGGAATACCCCTCTGCATGATGTGAATATATTTTATTACCATTGGTTAACAAAGAAGCTGCTTTGGTCTATGGCAGGATAGAATATAGTTAGGCAGGAAATACAAGCAGAGATAGAAAAAGAAGGTAGAGTCAAGGAAGACACAAGCAGATGCCAGAGAAGCAAAATGTGAGGTAACAAGCCACAAGCCTCTATAGAATAATAGAAATGGGTTAAGTTGTAAGAGCTGGTTAATAATAAGCCTGAGCTAATAGGTCAAATGCAGGAAGTCCCCAGGAGTGGTTGATATCACGGTGGAGGAGCTGGAGGTGGCTACAATAGGCTCAGGGGCTAAGATGCTCCTCATACTCTTCAGTTATAATTTCATACACAAAAAGGGCAAGCTTGGCTGCTCAAATTACAGGGGCATTAGCTTGTTGTGCAATAGCAGCAAGATCTTTTCCTCCATTATCCTGCAAACGATCAAGGGCAGAAGAAAGGAAACCCTAGCAGAGGTACAGTGCAGATTCAGAGCTAACAGGGGCACAATTGATCAGATCTTCACTTTGAGGCAACTGGCAGAAAAATACAAAGAATTTGGAAACAACTTATATGTCTATTACATCGACTTCAGGAAGGCATTCGATAGCATTTGAAGGAAAAGACTTTGGGAAACATTGAGGTTCTACAGGTACTCAGAGAAAATCATAAGAATACTAGAAAATGCATCAGTCAAAATCTGTGGGGAACTAAGTGATCAGTGTTGCAGGGATGCGTCCTCTCACCACTGCTCTTTAATATATTCCTGGAATTATTAATAGCATGAGTCATGGAGAATGAGGAGATAGCCATGCAGATATGTGATGTGTGACTCAATAACTTGTGTTTCGCCAATGATACAACACTACTTGCTAAAAGTCCAAATGAGCTGCAGGCCATGGTAAATAGAGTGGTGGAAGTCAGTGAAAATCTTGGTGTGAAAGTAAACATCAAGAAGACTGAGATACAACACATGGGAAGGGCACATAGGATTTTAACATTGTAATAAAGAACCCGAACCTCAAGCAAACAGTCAGCTTTATATCTCCTGGAGGAAACCTCAGTTCAAAGGAAGGAACTATTTCAGACGTCAAGAGGCAGATACGTCAAGAGGTGGATAGGGATAGCAAGGGCTGCATTCCAGGCACTGGGAAAGGTTTGGTCAGTGAGAGATGTAATGGCAACAACAAAATTACAAGTCTATAAGACAGTTGTCTTGAGCTGCCTTCTTTACAACTCCGAAACCTGGACAATGAAACGCTCCTCAGAACGATGGCTGAATGTGTTTGAGATGGCGTGTCTCAGGAGGATTCTAGGGGTCACACAAAGAGATAGGCTGTGCAACAAGGGCATTAAGAAACATCTCCATCTACAGAAGGAAATAAACTATGAGATCTGGCAATGGCCATATTATGAGAATAAATGATGACAGATACCTATAGATAGCACTGCTTGGAGCAGTGCACAGGACAAGGCAAAGAGGTAGGCCCAAAAAATGCGGATAGACAGTGTAAAGAAAGACTGTGGAACCTAGGGTATGACAACAACACAAGTATCTAGGACTGCCCAAGATAGGAACAAGTAGAGAACCACCATAACAGGCTGCCCGTGCATGCTCAAGTTTTGCTGGGGCATAAATGATGATTGGGACTGGGCGACTGGGAAATGAAAGCACAGCCTCTGGTTACACTCTTGTCCTGTCCCGGTGGAGTGAAGATGCTCACCAAAGGTAGAATGGGCAGTGACTGGCTGAAGCACTTCCTTCTCACTGCATGCATTCTACAAAATGGCAGCTATTCACTAGAGAAAGTGATTTATAGGTAGACTTTTCTTTCTCACTCGCCAGTTTTCAAACAACCAACATGGAGACTTAATATTAATTATAAATGCTCAGCTTATAGTTCAGGCTTATTACTAACTGGCCCTTACAACTTAACCCATTTCTATTAATTTACATTCTGCCGTGTGGCATTCCCTCTCTTTCATCTTGTACCCCTGTTTCCTCTCCATGTTTTTCTGGCAACTCCTCTGACTCTGCCCTTCTTTCCCCCAGTGTCCTT